ATATGAAACGCGCGAAAATCAATTTTGCAATTTCTATTCAATTTTATCATATATCCTATATTCGAGTAATAAAAATATCAAGAAACGATATTTTTATATAATTTCGATATCATTATAATCATCAAAAGTAGCGTATCGTAGAATAACTCGATCCTATCGAAGATTTCTCAAGATAAAACCATAGGCTATAGATTAAGATAACCGACCGACGCGTCGTGTGTATTAGCAATACTGAGATATCAAATTATATCAAAAAGATAAGCAAATATCTAACTAGGCTGAATCCAAATCTATATGTCTATAATTTTAGAAAAAAAGACCATCTCAATTTCAGATATAAAACAGATCTGTATGAAACCAATGCTGAGGATATCAAATTGCCTTCGACCGATCTCTCAGAAAACACTTTGCTCAACAAAAATGACAGCAATCCGACAAAAAAATTTCTAGTTCTGGGCAAGGTGCTTCGGAAAATCTACAGCCAAACTCGGGCAGCAGCTACACTGTAAAGTAGCTTGTGCCACCGCTGCCGAACGTGCTTAAACATGCTCAGGCAACGGGAGCAAATATGCGGAAGCCACGATATATCACGCGATGCTTGCCTGCTTCCTGCATAGATCCACTCCTTGTTGAATGGTGCAGCCCCAAGCCTGAGCTGCAGCCGCATCGTCACCAGCATCACCTGAGAAAGGCTGTTTGACGAGACTAACACGCCTCCTGGAATCACCAGACTCTCCCGATGACTGGGATGCTGAAATCATCTGTCCTGTATTGTCCCGCGTATGAGCAAGAAGCATGTTGATTGGCGTGCCTTACTCCTAGAAAGCTAGTCATTGGGATCACGAGCAGAACCGGGCCTCGGTGGCAAGAAGGGGGGTGGCGGAACCATGCCTGAGGTCGATGTTCAACGCGATGTTTCAATGATGTTGCTTTCAGAGATTTGTTGGTCTCCGTGTCTGTGTTGGCCTTGTGTTTGTTGTGCATTAATTTTATCATGCATGTGCTTGGCTTGGCTTGTTAAGTGGGTCCTTGGGTTGTGCAAGACTTCATTCACGACGACTTTGCAGTGTTTTAGGTGGGTTAGGGGTATTCCAGGTTTGAGGCATTGCAGCAGCTTAAGATTAAGGCTTAAGGGGTCAAAGCTTTACAGGCTGCAGTTGTTGTTTAGAATTCAGAAGTGAAGCTGTGAGAGTCTCAAAGCCAAGCTTTTAGTTTTGACTTAATAAGCCCAGTTAGCATATACTCCAACACGTATCAATTTGCGTGCTTCTTTCTGGAAGGGCGGGTTTGGGGGAATAGGACCCGAAGCCCTCAAAGAATCTCAACAGCCCAGATACTCGAACATCCGGCATTCAGCTATAAGGACCGGCAGATGTCTTAAGAAGGGCGCCTGGACGAAGCGAGGTTGGGGTCAGGGTTCGGGGTAACACCCTTCATGAACCTCTGGCCTTCCGGATAAAAAGGAGCTGGATAGCCAGGGGGTGGACCATCGCAGGCTTTGGCATCTCACTCTTCTGGCTTCGTGGTCAAGGGCCAAGGGTTTGGCTGTAGGGTTTCCGGCTACAAATACAAGCTCATCGAACCCATGATCTAGGCAGGTTCGATGCACTTAACGTCTAACCCGTCTGTATGCACATGCACTTACCTACCCACCTACCTACATCGATACATAAACAGCAAAGATACTTTACACACGATACCACATTTGATACATGATGTATCACCCTAATGACCTAATGGCATTGTGTGTAGACCTAACGTCCACCAGAACGCTTGCTGACAGCTTCAGGGCGTAAGGTCGAGTGTCTAGAAAGCCGAAACCCTGCCCGACCCTAAACTAACTCCTGAACCCTAAACACTACAGCTCCAAGGCTCTCGCTGACGCATGCAGGGAGGCAGACCTGGCCCGAGTTGCATGTGTCGATTCTGCTATTATTATACTGCACACTTAAACCCTAAAGTGAATAGTACTGGAAATTAATCAGGCCCCGCAAGGTGGGTGAAGGGTTCGGGCTTCCGGAATTAGGTGTTTAATACGGGCTTTACAAACAAGTCCAATTCAGAGACCTGCCCTGATTTAGGAGCTCAGGTCTTTGGTCCAACATGTCCCGAGCCGAAGCAACGCAAAACCTGTAACCGTTGCCAGCACCGCCGGCACCATCCAGAAAACGAACATACTGTCGGCGTGGCCTGTCAAAAACGTGCATCGCTGGGGCGGCAACGCCACTTGCGGCTTAGGGCTTAAGGTTTAGACCCGAAGGAGCATGATATACAGCTATGGTTCCCTGTAAAGTAAAGGCCGATTGTTGGTTGCCAGCCCGTGCCTCCCATGAACGCACCCATGCCACAGCCCACTCCGGGCCCACCGGTTATGCTTGCTGTATGGGGTTGGGGGTTTAAGGGGTCAGGCGATTCGGGTTCAAGGATCACATGCTAAGGCTTCACATATTGAATTTAGTTAGTGTTGCAAGCTGCAGCAGCCATGGCTTTAGGGCTTAAAGCTTATGGTCATCAAGGGGTTGCACCCTGAACCCTGAATCCCAACCACATTCCATTCAGAGGCCGTTGTAAGGAACCTGTCTCGACTCTAAAATGCTCAGAGATACCCCCTTCCTTCGAACGGGTGACTACGAGATACTAAGTAATTAGTCTTTCTAAGGCAGCAGCTGTCAGATTGTAAACGTTGCACCTCCTGTCAAGCCTCAGCCTCAATCCTACACTACTGTAACTATTGCAGAGGCTGAAACCCACCTAAACGCGCTACAAAGCCACCGCGCAAACCTGCAAAAAAACATCCCCCCAACCGTACAACACGGCAAAGAAACTGAGCAGATTAAACATATTCATGTATGAAGCCCTATACCTCTGAAGCCCTATACACCCCATAAACCTCTACTGATAACAAACCCCAAACTCAAACAACAAACGAACAAACAAAAAAGGGTCAACCCTGAAAGCTGAATAATTGTTTAACCCATGTTGTTGAAAACTGACCTCCAAAAGGAAAGTTCGCCCAGGCGGGCACGTAGCTTCCGGTGCTGGTTGCTGCGCCTTTGCGAAGAAGGGATGTGCAGGATTGTCGTTACGGTGTGATTTTGTTGGGCAGGTTTAAAGTGCTCGTTTCAACAAGGATTTGTTCTAAGTTTTGACTGAAATGTCTTCTGGGATCGATAAAAGTTTTGCAGATGGACCCAAGTACGCGAGAATCGGGTGCTTGGGTGTAGGGTATGTGCATAACCAAACTTATATTTGGTGGACTTTCTTTGCTTTGCTCGGGGTGTGAGGCGGGAGCAGTCCTTCCTCTCTCTCTCTCTCTCGCTAGATAGATGCAGATGTAGATGTACATGTAGACAAATAAAGGTAGAAATACACATAGAGATCCAGATAGAGACAGAGGTAAACATGGACAGACATAGACCATAAACATAGCTATGGATATAGATACACCTGCACATACACAAATACACACATACATACACATACACACATGCGTACATACATACTCATATACACACAGACAGACAGACAGGAAGACGAAGATACAGACATAGAGACAAAAAGACGAGGCATGTACACATGCTTATACATGTACACATACACATACAAGTACATATACATAAACCGATTCTATATACACATACACACACAGCACACATACAGACATACATGCAGACACGCATACATACACGCATACTTACTTACATACCTACATACCTACATACATACATACATGCGTACATTTACGCATGCATATATATATATATGTATATACATATATATATGTGTATTCATTTATTTACATATATGTGCAAGTACATGCATGTACATATATACATACATACATACGTACGTATTGTGCATGCATATAAATCCCCCTGGTACCTACCTTGTGCTAGTTTTAGGTGTGTGTGTGTATGTACATATATATATAAATAAAAATGTAGAGTGATCCCCAGAAAGTTGGAACATGGATTTGGAATGATTGTGCTGGGATCCCCTAAACCTTACCTTGAGGGCATGAGGAGAATGATGTGCCAACTTTTTGGCATCTACTATATAAATATGTATACACACAAACTCTTTAAGCGTGAAACATCACATGGGCTACGGCGTGAAGAAAATCCAACATGAATTAAGGTAGCTTGGGGCCTCTGACCTTCGTCTTGGACTCTACACACCACACACCAAGCCTCAAAAGCCCTGACATAAAAGACTAACAAATTGTATACCATGATGAAAAGCTTTGGCGCCACCCATAAACCTAGCAAGACATCATCGAAAAATTACAACTTCTGGCATTCCGGGTTGCTGTGGAAACCATCCCACGGTGCACCTCCAACGGTCGCTCGAACGGTTTGTCTGGAGATTCTGGAGCATATAGGCTTACGCTTTGGGGTTATGATTCATGGACTTGCTCTGTCGGGTTTGGTAATCTATTTTTGCGGGAGAAACTGCGGCTTTCAGCGCGCGCAGGCAGCGATTCCACTTGCAGAGCTTTCGGCGTAGCATACTCTGCACTTTAGCATTGCAGATGTCATGATGATGCATTTTCTGTGAAACTTTGAAGCCCCAGCCACTAAACCCCTATAACATCAAAAAGCGCCTATACCTGGAAAACACACCAACGCCATTAAAACAAAAGTGCTGCAAAAGCCTGCGCGCACACACACATGTATATATATATATATACACATACACATACACACGCGGAAAAATGTTGATTGCACTTTCGGACGGATTTAGTTAAAGATGCTGGCCGATTGGATCACCTGCATGGGCACGTGACTTGTGAGATTGCGGCAAACGTGCATGAAGATGGTTCTAGAACAGCTGCAAAGTGCCTTTGTGCGGGATGCATGTACAGCGTCGATGTCGAAACTGCTCGAAAGGCCAACCGTGTTGGCAATTAGAGTCGGTGTCGTCGGTATGGATGCTGGCTTCGCGTTGTGCTTCTTCCAAGGCTCGGACTCGCCTCAAAAAGATCATTGACAATAACCGTCGTGGACTCTATAAATTCCGCGAGCGTGCCATGAAATTCCTCCGGTGTAACCTCTGCTGCATCAAATAAGATGTTGGAGCTGCCATGTGGAGAGTCGTCATCAGTTGGGTTTGCTTGCTTGAGTATCGCCTGCAAGGAGTCGGCGATGGCTGCTCGTTGTGCGCCCGTCATGTAAATGAGGGGAGCGGCTGGGACGTACTTGGGCGGCATGACGCTTGTCACTGTTAAACTAGTCTTCTTGAACGCCAAAGGCGGCGCCAAGAACCTTTGGGATCATGCGAGTGTAGGCATGCAATCCAAGTAAAATGGTGTCAAGCTGCAATGCTATGTTTGGGTTGCAGCGCGCAATCCATGGTAGAATCAATTGTTTGTCGTATCCTGCTCTTTTGTACACCTCAGTAGGCTGCTCCATGGAAGTGTTGGAAGCTCGAGGAGGTGTGGTGATGCCCGCCCCGCCCCCTTCCCTCTCTCCCCACCCCCAGCCCTGAGGGTTTCGGGGTTGTAGTCAACGGCTCACGTTTGTGTGTTCAGGGAGGTAGGGGTTGGGGGCTTAAGGTAAGCCCAAGACGCACTGGCACTGCACATACTTCCCTTGAACCCTTTATGAAACCCCGACCCGACGAAATCCCCTAACCCGCCAAAGCCTTACAACACACGGAACCTAAGCCCTTACAAAAGCCCTGCAAACCTCCCGAAACCGGGTTGGCTTCGAGTTTAGAATAGTAAATGCAGTTCAGTTGTGTAAGATTTGGTGCTCTGAATTTTTTTTGCCTCCTGCATGGCTGAAGCTTGGCTTCTGGGACTTGGGCTGTTGGTTTCAAGATTCAGAGCTTTGGAAACCTACTAGTTCGTAGGAGCCTGCAAACAGGTCTTGGCCATAAGCCCTATGCGCCTTCCTGTTGGGGCAGGAAGGCGGCGAACGGGTCCCAGCTCGGTGCAGCCTCGGTTGAGTCTTTGGTTTTTGAAGACTTCCATAGAGCTTTAGACAAGTCTCAGGCCTTCCATACACGGTCCATAAGGCCTTATAATAGACGAGTTTGTAGAGGGTGGTTCAAGGCTTTACAAGGGTGTAAGGCTTCACAAGACAACCTCAAGGCTTGAAACACTATTGAAAGGAGAGGGTTTATGGCTCAGCGCATGAGCTCGAAAATACCTAAAATTAGGGTTGAAGTGTTTAGCATTCAAGGGTCTGTGGCTCACATAAAAAGGATCAGGGCACGTAGTCAGCAGGTGATGTATTTGCACTTTCTAACCCCTTAGGTGAAAGCATCCTTCTGTTGACCCTGCTGCACACTCACTTAACCTTTCGCACCTGGAAACACATAACTAAATTTCAAGTCGTAAGAAGCCCGAACATTCCAAAGTTTGGTGTTGGAGAACTCTGCAACAAGCGGCAACCTCTTCCGAGGGCCCACGAGGATGAGGCTCTGCGCTGGCATGCTCGCCTCGAGCATGAAACCAGGGTGCAAAAAGGGTACTGTAATTCAAGGGTTCTTCAAGGGTGCAAAACGTTATCTTAAGGGATTGTTGAAGACCCGCTTTGGCGCTGACGGGCGGTACTTTGACACTTTGACCCTGTTGCCTGTTGTAGCATCCCATGTCCCTCCTGGACAGTGGCCCGTATTAGGGCCCCTATAAGTCTAACATTGATTGCAACCGATGCAAGCTAACAAAAACATCATGCTAGTACCTCCGGCATGCCGGGCTGTGCGCGGCGTGTTTACTTCACCTGGTACCCACTTTCTTCTGCAACCTCCAAGGCTGAAAACATGTCCTTCACAGTGTTTGTGTAGCGGCTGTAACCTCCACGCTACGCTGTCTACTTAGGCTCCTGGGAAACTCGCAGCTGGAGACCTTAAAACCTGAACCTTGCACCCCAACCCGCGAGCTTTCGGGACTATATAGGGCTAGGCAAAAAACTTGAAGGTTTCGTGAGCACGCTGGTGCACCACGCTGTGGCTTAGGATTTTGGGTTCTGAAAGATGTCAAACTGAGAACACGTCAGGGGAACGAGGAGCGCAAGATGTATGATGCTTGAGCATTGAGATCGGGAAACCCTCACTTTAAGGAACCCATCCTGGCAGCAACCCCAACCCCTAAGCGTAGGATATGCTTGCCGTTTGGGGTTGGGGAGTTTAGGGTCTACGTGACGGGGTTGAGGGATTCAAAAACCCTAAATGCGCCAAAATCGAACCATGTACAGTGCCCCAGAATCTGCTGCCTCCTTTGCCCGTCCCGCACAAAACCTCAAGCCGCTAACCAAAGTCTGCAACAAATCCACATGCATGTGAAAGAACTCTGTGTGTGTTATATACATATATATATATATATATATCAGTTACTACGATGGCAAACGCTCGGTCCCCTCGCTGAACAGACGAAGGGGCGGCCACACCTTTTTCTGCGACCGCAACGTGGGAGTCGGCCACAAGTCCGATCATCAAAACTTCACTCGATCTTCACACATCCGATCGGACCCCCGATCGCCGAGGGGTGCGCCATAGCATTCACTACGGACCGCAACATCAATCCGATCGGAAACATCAGACGAGCGATATTCCCTGCGAACAAAATTAAAAGTCGTCGATCGGATCATCCGGCTCGGGCGAGGGCTCCTCGATCGGATCTTCATCGAGAGGAGCCGCGCCGAGCAAGTCGATCAGTTGCCGCTCGGCCGCCCGAAAGGCCTCAGATGGAGTAGCCTTGGCTTTGGCACGAGCAGGAGCCGCCCGACCAGCCCAAAGGTGTGGGCGGGTGGGAAAGTTTTTGAAAGCAAGCTGCTGTTGCGTGGTGTATGCTTGAACCCAAGCGGGGCCGCGGGGATGAGTAAGTCCGAAACAACCCTGAGTAAACACAGGAACCGTTCAGGACATTACTACACCACGCAACACCAAAAGGCTACTGCGAGGAATGCTGTGCGAAGCAAAAGCTGGCAAAGGCTGCAACATGTAAGAAGGTATGCACACTGCTCTTTTTCGGCTTGCCGGTAAAGCGACTGCTCAGACGTCGGCTATCCCGATCGGATCTTTGATCCGTCCGAGATCGTAAAGCAAAAGCTGAAGCAGCGGAGCAGTCGCAAAAGCCCGGGTCTGAAAACTGGCAAGCCGAAACCTCGCAAACGTAGTGGAAAGGCCAAGCAGAAAAGTGAGGTGAGGAAGCTACTTGCGCTTCCTTGAGCCGCGGTTTGTCGGGCCCAAGCTGTCAGCTGACGGAAGCTGCCATTTCAAAAATGTGTCAGCGGGAAAAAGCGTCACTTGAAAGCGGATCTGCCAGAACTCAGAAAGTGAGAGCTCGATGCGGTTCGACGCGAGAAGCTTGGCAGGGAGTTCCGCGGAGCCATCCCACCGAGAAAGCAGGTCTGCGTCGTCGTTCTTCTCGCCAGCTATATGGCTGCAGTCCAAAGTCTTTGACACCGGTAATCGAGCTCCACATTGAAAGCTTGCGAACGAAAAGGTTAAGTGGTACTTTAGAGGTGTAAAGCTTGATACACACTGACTCTGCACCACTATTATCGCTCAAAGCTGGTAATGTCAAAGCCAAGCGACCGGAACCATGTGCTTTCCAAAAAGCCAAAAGCACAAAGCACTGTGCCAATGTCTCGTAGCTGGAGATGTCTAGGTTGGCATCTGCTTGCATGGGTAAGCCTAAGTCCAGGAAGTCTTTGACTGTGTAGCGGTGAGCAAACCAAAGCAGGCGTCCGCTGGGGAGGAGGAGCCATCCTCCAACGCCGCAATCATTGCCCTTGCCGAAAGCGTCTGCGGCCGACTCCACCGAACTGGTAGGTGGTGGTCGAAGTGGCCTGGGCCGCCAGTCCCTGGAGCTCAAGTGGGCAAAGAAGGCAAGGGTTTCTCTGCTGGACTCAGATAAGCGCCGCTTGGAGGAAGTGGGGTCCGTAACTCGGAGCCACATGCGCTTTGTGCTTACGGGGACTAAAGCCAGGTCTTCCTTACTGTTAAGAGGCTTATGCCGAGCTGAAAGCAGCGTTGAGCCAGGTGAAATGCCAGTGCCCGGGGGGCAACCTGTGAAGCGAAGCTTGTCGTCCAGGTAAGAGTGGATGCCTGGCCAAACAACTGGGCTGATGCTGACATTGGTGCCAAGTGGTCTATGCATGTCATCATACAGAGTGCATAGCCAGGGGCGTAAAGCAGGAAGACCATGCAAAATCCACTGAAGCAGACCTAGCAGTTTGTCAAGCTGTTTGCGGCTGACAAGTCGATGCCGAAGGCATTCCTCCACCTGGCCAAGCAGCTTCAAGCGTTTGAGCTCCGGTAAAGTGTAACAGCCAGCCTTGAAGTCGATCTGCCACCCTATCCAGGTTATAGAGGGCCCCATCTGCAATTTCCGCCAACTAAGCGGTATATTGAAGCAGGCGCAGAATGCCAAGACCAGAGAAGCGCTAAGCGGAAGTGCACGAGAATTTTGCCAGAGAAGCAAAGCATCTACGTACAGCACGAGGACGTGTGACAACCAGATAAGTAGGTGAAGGCAGCGCGCAAAAAAGCCCCCTAAGCGGGCAAACCAGTGGCTCGAAAAAGTGGCCCCGAAGGGACAGACACGGTAGAAAAAGAGGCGTTCTTGTTGTCTCAATCCAAGCAGGCCTCTGTCTTTCTCGCGCACAAGTGAAGTTTTGTGCGCTCCCTTCACATCTAAGCTGAAACCCGAGACCGGCTCCTCGTCCTCCCTCGGAGGGTAAGCGGACTGAATGTCCTGGAGGCTGGGCAAGGAGAACTGTTCAGGCACATGGCAGTTCTGGTTCGTGTTGCAGATGCTGTTGTCTATGACCAAGCGGGCAGAGCGACCGGGGGCCTTGACAATGTTCACACGGCCCACCGCAACACGTTCCTTGCCCCACCTTTCGTAAGCAGCCTCCAAGCTGGGAACTTCCTCTATGTAGCCGGCCGAAACCTCCTCCTCGATCAACTCCTGAAGCAGCGCCGGGTCTGCCTCAGCCCCCTGCCAGTTACCTTCGCAAACAAGCAGGTCAGTGGGTTCGTCTGAGTTGTTGGGATCACGAGGTCGGAGTGTGTGGCTGCGAGGGATGTCGCCATCGAACCCCGTAGGTACGCCCTTCTGCAAAGCGGGGAAAAGGGAAGTGTCCTTGTCACCCAGCATAGTACTCAAGCGCTCCAGTGCCGACAAGCAGTAGGGTTGGCCTTCTTTCACTGAGAAGTTCCAGTCCTGGCACGGGGAGTGAGCATCTGAAAAGCGCTTGAAAGAAGAGCGAAGCCACTCTGTTTCTTCCTCTGTAAAAAGGGGTTTATTGCTGGCTTCGGCAACGTGTTGCTGGAGCCTGACAGGAATTCTGTTTTGAAGCAGCCAAGATTGCCATTCCTTTCGCAGGTCGTGTAAGCTGTCGGACTGATACCTTGGGCCAAGGGACCAGTCGGGTAAAGAGTAGATGCCCCCGCCATCCTGTGCTGCTGTGGGCGTTGATGAACGCGGCGTTTTGGGAACTGAGGCCAGTGCGAACTTCAAGGAGCAGGGTGCAACCGAATAAGCAGGTCTTGCCGAAGAGAATAAGTGCATGGCTTTCTCTGAAAACTTCTCGGCAAGCTGGGACGGGTACTCCGCCGTTCTCTGGGACAAAAAGTTCCCGTGTTCGTCCCTGGCACCTGCGACGGAATGGTGGCCTCCTGCATGCGAACATGTGCTTGCCAGAAAGCGGAATTCACTGTAACTGCAAGCGAAAAGCCAAGATTTTGCGATATCCTGTCCCACTGAACATGCCGGGATGTTGACCAGTGAGACTTGTATTTCAGAAAGCATGTCCTGAACAAAAGGCTCAAGCCAGGACATAGCGTTAGTGGGTTGTTCCAGGGATACATGCGCACCTGAGCAGAAAGCTGCTCTCAGAAGGCATACGCAACGATATAGAAGCTTCTGGCTGCTGTGTACTCTAGCTTGCTGCGAAGCGGTGTTCCCTGGAAGACCATTCGATCATGTGATCCGGCGATCGAATGGCTGGGGGTCCACCTGGACGAAGCTTCAAGCGGGAGTACTCCTTGCAGGGCGGCGATCCGTGAGCTAAGCGGACAATCCCAGCAAAACACAGCCGAAGCAAGTGGTCGTAGGTATCGTCGTTGAGCAGGTCGAGTTGCTCCTCGCCCAGTAGATCTATGGGCAGGCAAGTGATTCCGCATGAAGACATCGCCGTGGTAAGTGGGCGAGCGGCCCCGCAGCATATGTCCAGGAAGAGCTCCACGCATGTCGTGTCCTTGAGCGGGGGAGGTATTGACTGCGGGTGGCCTGGGGTTGCCGGCGGGAGCGGGAAGCCCAGAGACCTCAGGTGTGCCAGTGACGTTGCATCGAAGCGTTCTAGGCTCTTGCAAGTATAGGCAGTCAATACCCACCGGTCTCCTTGTATCGGAAGCGTGCAGTGAAGTGCTTCACAGCTGAAGGAGAGCGGCGCGTGCCAAGTGTCGCGAACCTCGCCTATACCAGCTTC